CACACTATCGCTAACTGATGACCAACCAGGTGTCATATACATACTGCAAAAATAGCCATGCACTCCTGTACTGAAATACTGGGGTTAACTGGAACGGTTAATGAACAAATGTTTATTAGTTTCAAAATGCCTTATTATATACCTTTGTATTATATAAATTATCTCTCAAAGCTAAAGAAATTTTATCTTGGAAAGATCGCTTCTTATCCCTCGTAACAGAAGAAAATGTATTTTTTGGCCCTGAAATAATCTTTCAGTGTATCATCAAGTCTACATCGTCTATAAACACACAACAACCTCTCTCTCTCTCGTAGCCTAGTGGTTAAAGCGTTGGCTCGTCACGCCGAAGACCCGGGTTCGATTCCCCACATGGGCACAATGTGTTAAGCCCATTTCTGGTGTCCCCCGCCGTGATATTGCTGGAACATTGCTTAAAGCGGCGTAAAACTAAACTCAGTCAGTCAGTCTCTCTCTCTCTCAGAACGGTAATAACTACACTCAGAATCATACCAAGACTGAGAATTTACAGTGCCTTCACGACATTTACGTTTCAAACATGTAGCAGCTTCACATATAGCATCAGTAAATGAATCGACAGACTCAATAATATTAGAGGTTCAATGAGTATATTCCAGAATCGTCTGCCTTAGTGCAGAATGTTCTAGTTTTTGTTCTTAGCCATATAGACGGTTTAGAATTGGTCTTTAGCAAACCATGCCTGTCGTAAGAGGAGACTATCGGCATGGGGTGGTGAGACTCTCTGACTTGGTTGTCTGGTACAGACCTGATTATTTACAGACCGCCGTCGTATAGCTGAAATATTGCTGAGTGCGACGTCAAGCACCAACCCAACAAACACAACCTTAGGTATATAAGGAGACTTAACTCTCGTCTCTCATCTCACATTACATGTCAAGACACAAGAAGACACTGGTTTTGTGTAGTAACTCGATTCCGTGGAATACTCTGCCAAGCCCTTTCTTGCAAACTGGATATTACTGTTGCCGGGAGATGAATGTAACCATTACTTTTCATAGCTTGTACTGTCACTCAATTTTGCACCGTCGTAGTGATACTTTTGAAGTGACTGGTATTGATTTGTGAATTTGTTTAATTTTAGAATACAATTGCTACGTCACATTTCTTTGTTCTTTGTTGGTTTCAAACGGTTTACAGACTGATTACCGAGGTTTTAGAGAAAGTATAAACCAAAACGTAAGACTGAAACGTTTGATCAACAGACGGACCCAAAGATTACGAAGAGATGTACACGCCCGCATTAGGGGTGAAACTGGAAGACGTTGTGCTGACCTGTGATACTGTTTGTTTGTTGTCAAGGAAAGTTGTTCACATATAATTAGAGAACTGGACGTGGTAGTTACTACAACAGATCGGTCATCAGTTTTAACACCTGGCGTATTTTCGGGTGTGGGGGGTGGGGGGTGAAAAACAAATAAAGTAGAAACTATTACAATATTACGAATACCTAATCTAGATGGTCAAAACTTTCTATTTCTATCTGAGGAACTACGCACAGTCTCAATGGTATAAGTGGATGAACCAACCAATTAATTTCAACATATATCTGGTCGACTTTTGAACGTGACTTCATGACGAAAACGACACTATTGATATATTTTGGAAAAGGATTTTAGAGGAAACCACATGTAGATTAGAAAATCACCATGAAGCCATACTGAATGAACATAATCCAACATTCTTACCGTTAAGCTATTTCAAGTCAGAAATGATAAAGCACACATAAGAATTAGTTCACAATTCACAACTTTTAAGATACAATCAAGCGTGATCTTTTTATCAGGATTTCAAGGAGCGTCATGCCGCTCTGGCTTAGAAGTTGTGTGATCCAGGATACAACATTCAAGGCGTCAGTAAAGCTTTCAAGAAGGTTTATAATAGTAATGTGGAGGAAGTTTCCAAATTTGTTGCATGAGTAACAAAAATGATGTCCGATGCAATTCCCTATTTTGACTTATACCATACCTTCCCGAATTATTTCAGGTGAACAAATGACTATACTTAGCATATATTTATGATGGTTGCCACCGGTGGGGCAGGATAAGCTCACCTTTCAGCGAACAACTGGCATCATCGCTACCTCGTTCTGATTCATTAACACATGCTCTGTCATCGTATCGCATGGTGACAATCACTGGCTTGTCTGGTGCAGATCCGATTTTTGTTTAGAAACAACATCATACACCTGCAATACTGCTGAAACAAATATCTGATGCTGATAAAGTTACAATTGTACAATCGACTATGCCCTTGGCAGAGATTTCTTATAAATGTGGAAAGGGTTTTGTCGCTTCTATTTAAAAGACGAACACGTTTTTAATTCGTTAGGTTCGAAAAAACGAAGATTACAAAATACTACTTCTTTTGTTAGCCCAGTACAGTAATTACCTGTAATTAATTATCTTATTACGAATATCCAGGAATTTCTTTTTTCAGAATAATATTTCGTCCTAGTTCGTTTCAGGTGTTTTTCATTTGTCCCATCACTGACGTTTGTAAATAGTCTTTGTCATGGACTGTTCGTTCCCAAAACACACATTTTCTTGTTGTGTTCTATCTGCTTGTTGTCTCCCGCGTGAGGAACTCATTAACAAGATAATCTGTAAAAAGGGAGAATGTGCAGGACGGTGTGGAAGATCGGTGGTACATCGTATATATTGACGGTGTGGAAGATGGGTGGGACATCGTATATATTGACGGTGTGGAAGATGGGTGGGACATCGTATATATTGACGATGTGGAAGATGGGTGGGACATCGTATATATTGACGCTATGCGTCGAAGATGGTATAGGGCATCGTATATATTGACACTATGTGTCGAAGATGGTATAGGGCATCGTATGTATTGACACTATGTGTCAAAGATGGGATAGTGCATCGTATATATTGACACTATGTGTCGAAGATGGTATAGGGCATCGTATGTATTGACGGTATATGTCAAAGATGGGATAGGGCATCGTATATATTGACGGTATATGTGGAAGATATGTGGAAGATATGTGGCACGTATTACATATTGACGGAATATGTGGATTCATTTTGGAAGATGGTGGTATATCGTATATATTGACACTATGTGTCAAAGATGGGGTAGGACATCGTATATATTGACACTATGTGTCGAAGATGGTATAGGGCATTGTATGTATTGACGGTTTATGTGGCAGATTAGTAGGACATCGTATGTATTCATGGTATATGTGGAAGATGGTTGGTACATCGTATATATTGACACCATGTGTGGAAAACGAACGAGACATCTTGTATATTGATGGCATGTGTCAAACATGGGTGGGACATCGTATATATTGACAGATGCGGGTTAGAAGTGGTCTTCAGCAACCCATGCTTTACTGACGGGATTGGGTAGGTCCGGCCCGCTGACTTGACTGATACAGGACATCGTATGTATTGACAGATGCGGGTTAGAGGTTGTCTTCAGCAACCCATGCTTTACTGACGGGATCGGGTAGGTGCGGCTCTCTGACCTGACTGATACAGGTCATCGTATTCCAATTGTTTATAATCGATGCTCAGGATTTAAATCTCTGGACAGTCTGGTACAGACTCGGTTATTTACTGACCGCCTCCATGTAGCTGAAATATTGTAACGATAACAAACAAACAGACGTTAAAAGAAATTATTTTTTATTAATCCAATAATAATGTTTGAGGAATGAAATATAAGTATATTCGATAAATAAAGGTGCAGCCACTTCCTGTGACATCTGACAGACCGTTATGTCTGTACGAAATCATAATGGTGAATGGTTTAACATCCATTCAACCTGTATGAGACCTCGTGTTCTTATATTATTTTGTATTTTATGTTATTTTTTTTATTTATTTATTTATTATTATGGGTTTTGGGGTGGGGGTGGGGTGGTGTGTGGTGTGTGGTGTTGGGGGTGGGCTTGTCAATAGAGAGATCAGTTACGTCATATTTCAGAGCGATGCAATCTCAATACGCAATCGGATCACTACAGAGGTTGCACCTTTTCATGATGAAAGCATGTGGTACATGTCATACACATATATCATGGAGAAGGATAACAGGACCGAGGGTACTGAGTGACATTTAAGTGGAAGAATATGAGTATATGCAATGAAGGAGAGGTTGCCAGGTGTACCACCATCCTTACAAACCATTATGAAAAATCGAACATGGCTTCTTGTGTTCAACGTTTGCTTTACCAACCAACCTGCGCTGGACCAATGTTAAGTCAATGTTTTTGTGTCAGTGAGACATCAAGTGGAATCATGTTCCAGAGCGATACACTTTCACAAAATACTGCGGACAACTAAACGAAAGAGTTCTTGTCTTTCAGGAGACAAATTTGCTTTTAAGAGAGTTTCCAAATGCTAAATTGGTTATATTTAAGATTACACTTTCTCAGTTAAGTACATAGAAATCTGGATGGAAATGTGACAACTGGGCGAATTGTCACAGTGGTACTGAAAATAGGTGATCTAGATTACCAGTTGCGTTGCCTAGGAAACGGTACATATCATACATATAAAGCATGCTGCAAATGTTAAAAAGGTTTGCCTTCTAAGGAAAAAAAGCGAAGTCTAGTGATTGCTAAGTAAAAATCTAACAACTGTCGTCACCGTTGTGTGTTTTTTGAAAATGATAAAAACAAAGAAAGAATTGTTACGTATAAGGTCATTGTTGGACATTTACTTGGGATATGAGCATGTTAAATTGTCTTTAACTACTTCTTGGCGATCGTCAGGTGGGTGATGAGTCATCATATAGAGTAATGAGTCATCATATAGAGTAATGAGTCATCATATAGAGTAATGAGTCATCATATAGAGTAATGAGTCATCGTATAGAGTAATGAGTCATCATATAGAGTAATGAGTCATCATATAGAGTAATGAGTCATCATATAGAGTAATGAATAATCATATAGAGTAATGAGTCATCATATAGAGTAATATGAATCATCGTATAGAGTAATGAGTCATCATATAGCGTAATGAGTCATCATATAGAGTAATGAGTCATTATATAGAGTACATACAAGAAATCAATATAATGTCAGATGATAACAATAAGATGGCGACTCTGTGAGATTAACGGGACAGAAGCCAATTAGGTACAGCCAAACTGCAATGATGGGGCTACTTTTATAGGCATCGGGCCAACTATGGTAAACATAGCAGATAGGCATGCACATGCTAACATACATCGCTAATGCAGATATGTGTCCAAGTCAAGTGATGATGTCAGTATCCTTAGTTATGAAAACGACTAGTTCCTGACGACGGAGTTTTGATAGGTTGGCTCTGCGAAGGAAAAAAGATGTAAGTCAGTGATAATGGTGATACAGATTCCGCCATTGTATTGACAACCCTTCCGTATTGTACAAAGATATCTTTTACTCTACCATGACTACGTCAAATACTGGAATTGGAATAAACAATCAATACATCAATAAATGAATGAACTATCACTTTGGATTGAAGAATGCGTCTGATTTTATGACTGCTTCACAGCGCACGCATACAACCCTGTCGTATTACGTAAGCCTGGCCACCAACATGACTGATGGAAATGTTAATACTAAAACAAGATTTACAGATAACCATCCTGGTGTGTAAAGCATATGTTTGCTTCCGTTTAGAGAGTATCAATTCAGTTTTACATTTATCTAATTTTCAAACATATTAAGTTTAACTCCTAAATGATTAGGTTGTCATGGCAATTTGACCATACGGTTTCTAATTCAGTTATTAAATATGGAGTGAAACATATAGGTAACATACATATGGGTAACCATCGGTGTTTCAACATGTGACAAACTACTATTATTTATGTTAAAAACCCATTTATTAATCATATTAACATCCTTTATGCATGTATAATTAATGTATAAATTGTAGTATCTTAAAGACTCACAGGTGCTTTGTGAAAGTTCAAGCATTTTATCTCAAACCACAATATGTGATTCCGGATTAAAACAGATGCCGAACGATGCATGCGAATCCCTACACTAACGTTTAGTCTCAGACTATATATATTGATAGTAAAAAATAAACCAATTTAAATTGAAGAAGAGCCCAAGTGAGATGGGAAATTCAGAACCTGAGGAAATCTAGACTTGCTCCATATAGGGCTTTATGGAGGGCTAGGTAGTAAAGAAAATAATGTGGTTCAGGGAACTGTGAGACAGACTTGCGGATCCCAAGTGGATCTTATGGTCAGGCTCGGTGATGTAATTTATCTAACCGCCGTCATCTCATTCGAATATTTTAGTGTGCTGCTGAAACAACAAATTTGATATCTGGCTTGTACTCAGTTCTGATGCTATTAAAGTAACAGCTACAAGTCAGAGGCCAACTTACCGTCGTCGTATTTCTGTGCTTTGGTTGGTTATACTTTCTTGTCTTTTGCTGGGATAAAAAAAGGATACATACAGATAAGGACATCATGTTGTTTTACAGCACGGATATACATGTACCACTGATAAACAGGACTTATATAGAACTGTTAAACAGGACCATGTACCACTGATAAACAGGACTTATATAGAACTGTTAAACAGGACCATGTACCGCTGATAAACAGGACTTATATAGAACTGTTAAACAGGACCATGTACCGCTGATAAACAGGACTTATATAGAACTGTTAAACAGGATCATGTACCACTAATAAACAGGACTTATATAGAACTGTTAAACAGGATCATGTACCACTGATAAACAGGACTTATATAGAACTGTTAAACAGGACCATGTACCGCTGATAAACAGGACTTATATAGAACTGTTAAACAGGATCATGTACCACTGATTAACAGGACTATATAGAACTGTTAAACAGGACCATGTAACGCTGATAAACAGGACTTATATAGAACTGTTTAACAGGACCATGTACCGCTGATAAACAGGACTTATATAGAACTGTTAAACAGGACCATGTACCGCTGATAAACAGGACTTATATAGAACTGTTAAACAGGATCATGTACCACTGATTAACAGGACTATATAGAACTGTTAAACAGGACCATGTAACGCTGATAAACAGGACGTATATAGAACTGTTTAACAGGACCATGTACCGCTGATAAACAGGACTCTATGTAACACTAACTTACAAAACAATAGTTGTTGAAAAATGATTTTCCACAAAGAATATTTTTTAGAGTTTGTATATATAAAGTTAGATTTGGAAGCATATTTTTAATACTGCAAATGTGAATATGTCTCTACGCAGCAATGATGATGTGATTTAGTATTCCATTTTCATGTGGAGTACCAAACCAAATCATGTTTTTAGATAATATCAATGGATGAGCCAAATGTTGAGCCAAATTTGTAGGTTTATCCAAAAGGTTTGTGTCTAACAGTTATCAACTTTTTTCATTTTGACCAATTCCTTTTTTGTATAAATAATACCTTGTAGAAATCTATGTTGAAAGTCAATAAGCTTTGTATCTTGTAATCCCTTTCTTTATACTGTAAATCAATTTTTCAAATCAAAATCACTTTCAGGAAATAAAAGCTGCCATTTGTTACAAATGTTTGGATGATTATCACTGCAAATTAGTGTATCATAAAAAATCCGGAACGGGAATTGGTACCACTGGTATAAGGCATGTAACCACTGATTACCAGGGATACGTATCACTCACTCACATAGCTATGTACCACTGATAGAATAGACTATGTACCGCCGATAAATATGATCATGTACCACCGACAAATAGGACCATGTACTGCTAATAAAAAGGAATATGTACCACTTACTTACAAACGGGTATATGAACCACTGATAAACATGGCTATGTATCACTCATAACAGTATCATGTACCACTGATAGGCAGGACCATGTGCTACAGAAGATAATGCACCACTAACAAACAGGACATTAAACCATAAGTAACATGAAAGAGTCTAGAACAGCTTCTACTGAGAAGGTTATTGACAAAGAGTGTGGGCACATAGACAGTGATTCAAGTCAGTTCAACAACAGCTGAGTGTGAGAAGTGAATTCCAAACCATCGTGTATTGCTACATCTGTGAACATCATTTGTGAAACACACAATCCCTGACAGGGTGTCGAGATGCAGAGGATGTCGAGATGCGGAGGATGACATCTTGGACATATCTGGAACTTGACGGTCTATAGCCTTGCTGCACAGGCAGTTTTAATGTTGTACATTACTGAACTCTAAATTACTATGAACCAGGAACCATAATTATGGTAAATTAAGCTCAACCCGCGGAGTGAGACAGCTGTGCGTGTTGCGTTTCTTTAGACCTTGGGCCACCAGTTTTCATCACTGATATCATGAAAACCAGGGTGAGTGAGGATGTTTTTTTCGTTTTATGTCGCTTCGAGCAATATTCCTGCAATATCATATTGGGGGATACCAAAAATAGACTTCACACATTGTAACCCATGTGGGAATCGAATCCAGGCCTATGCAAACGCTTTAATCTCGAGGCTACCCCGCCGCCCCCAACCAGATCAGATGGTAAAGCATAGCTGTGTTGAGTAAATATGCACCATACATAGTCAATGTGCATTTTGTACGACTCCGCACAACTATGTGGTGTCTTTATCAACGTCTTAGTACCTCTTTGTTTTCGTATGTTATTGCTCGTTTCAAGCTGGATGTCACCGTAGGATTGGCCCGAAGCAGTTCCTGTGAACATACAAAATTTCAGCATACACTGAGATTCAAATTAAATTGCTTGCCCACTAGATGAGGTTTATTTGTGTATCATCTTCTAGACACTAGGTTGGCTGACGCTGTGGGCGTCTCCAATTTCAGGCAAAACCAGTTTTAGCCAAATATCAAAGTGTGATTGAGCATTTCGGGTGATAGAGGCAAAGACGGACATTCGAGGTGTGACCCAACAGTCTCTTGTTGTTGTTTTGTTGTTGCTGCTGCTGTTGTTTAACGTACTCATCAATATTCCAGCTAAATGGGATCAAAGACAAGCCAGGGATCAAAGGCACCAGCGTCGATCTAAGCAATTTGGATGCGATGACATGTGTCAACCAAGACAGACAGCACGACCTCCTGACCCCGTTAGTCGCCTCTATCGACAAGCATGGATCTTTACAGATTTACCCCACAGTGAAGATAGTTATTAATATATTATAATACATGTGGATATGAGTTGCATGTCATCAAGTGTGTCGTCGTGGCACAGAAGAACACATATTCCTGGAAGGTGTCGGAGCTGATTGTTTTTCTCTATCGAGAGCCCCAGCACAACATCGGACACCATGATGTTCAGCAGATGGTCGCACGTAGCTTAACACAGGTCTGATCGTATCTTATTTTCGTGTGATAAACCTATGATACCTTTGTGTGTAGACACGCAAACTCAAACTAACTTTAAGTAGTTATGATAATTGCAGAATCTTTATCGTCACGACGGCCTATTTCCATCATTCTGCTTGTGTTGGAATTCTGACTAATTGATATAGGCCTCCTATTACCACTTAAATATGATTAATCCTCAGAAAAGCCCCGTGAAAGGAGGACCCCGATTAACTTTAATATCTGATAAGTGTGTTTGAAACCAGCAACAGTTTACCAGTCTCTTGGCGTGTGTTTGCTTCATCTTCAAATCCAAGGTTGCCATAGATGTAAATTGGATCGTCATCTGGAACATTGTGTTATTTCAGAATAAATTACATAGAATTGTAGGACAGTCTGCTTGATTTGGCAGAAAAGCTCATGTATACTTTGTCAACGCCACAAGGACAGATAGAAGGAACACAGATTGGTATCTGAAAAGCAGGTTTTAATCGTAAAATTCCTTAAACTTCGTTAAGTCGTAGTTCGTTATTGTGAAAGGATTTAAGCTTGAGAACAGAGGTTTTAATTTGTTATGACAAGGAATAGTAATTGAGGTAGCTAAACATCGCTGTACCGTAATGTGACGCGCAAGTCTTGTCATAATGAACGAGTTTTACTTCTAAACATTCCATATCCCTGTTTGCCTATTGGGTCGTTTATCTTGTTGCTTGGGTTATGACTTCATTTCAAGGCTACTGTGTAGAATTCGTAGGCACCGCAAGCTTCAAGTTTAGATGGTCCAGCTACTGTTACCTGAGTTCTGCATTCTATGTTAAAATAATCAGGTGTTGTTTTTTGTTTGATTGTTGTTTAACCCCGCACTCAGCAATATTCCAGCTCTATGGTAGAAGCGGTCTGTAAATAATAGTCTGGACCAGACATTCCAGTGATCAATAGCATGAGCATTGATCTACGCAATTTGATACGATGACATGTGTCAAGCAAGTCAGAGTGAGTGAGTGAGTTAATATTTATCGTCACATCGGCAATACCAAGTCAGAGAGCCTGACAATCTGATCCCGTTAGTCGCCTCTGAAGACAAGCATGGGCTGTTGAGAACCAATTCTAGCCCGGATCTTCACGGGTAGTAGAATTCATAAACAACATCCAAGACATGTTAGCCCATCCATTTGCTATTTGGGGTCTGCATTCCACGTTTAACACAATCAGCAATGTCATATAAGTATTTCATGCTTTTAAAGTTTTGTGCCTGTCTTTAAATAGCTGATCGATTGCAGACGCCGGCGTAAGATATCTGCATATTTACAAAGCCATGTTCATTACCTCTCACTTGGGTCATTCCAAGTGCGCAGTATGTATTATCAGCACCTGGAACATGTAACAAGTCATTTGCCAAAGGCCAAAATACCAGACAAATTGATTTCCAAAACTGACATATTGCTCTGTCTAAAGTCTTCACTTAATTTGGCTTAACAGACCGATCATCTTCCGAAACCTGCCAATACCGACACCTGTATAATCCGGCACACAGTCAAAACCGGCATACAATTTTGGTCCCGCCATTTTACAACGATAGTATGACCATTAAAACATTGTCTAATCCGGCATCTGTCTATTCCGTATTCCGCACGACTTTCCCGGTACCAACAAGCAATTTTAACTGTAATCAACACTGTCTAAACCGGCATGGGTATGAGCAGTCCAACGAAGGTCCCATGATCCAATACACTAATTAATCCTCTTATAATCCACGCTAGATAATCAGGAAGTAGTGACTGCGTGGTGAATCAAACGTCTAAGCCGGCATGGTATGAGCAGTCCAATCAAGGTCCATTAATCCAATACACTCATCTCGGCACGCTAGATAATCAGGAAGAAGAGATTGGCGAGTGTAAATGGCAGCCATGTTCAGCGAACATGACCGTCACTGTTCAATCCGGTATCCTCTCTAAACTGGCAATCCAACGGGACCGAAATGAAATGCCGGTTTAGACAAGATACCGGATTAGACAGTAACGATCATGTTCGAACATGGCTGCCATTTACACTCGCCAATCTCTCTATTCACTGTCTAAACTGGCATTTTCATTTCGGTCCCGTGGGGTGCCGGTTTAGACAGGTTTCACTGTATATATGGACTGTATAAAATGGTGCTATACCCCCACTTGGCAGTTCCACGGTCTCGTACATCTGTTGGCTCCCTCCAACATCTGTCCTGGTGGTCTGTGCAGTTCTAGTACACATGCAAAATCAAATGGGAATATTTTACAATCTGTGCTCTAGATAAACACATTCTTGTTTATCAGACATTGGGATATATTAATTCAAATATATGGTTCGTTACTCTGCATTGCCCTTTTGTGAGTTTTAAGAGGAACACGTTACATGGATTGGCAATTCCTTTATTGCAATGGATGCGAGATGTAGGTATTAATACCGTTATTAAACACCTACACCGAAACCTTGTGTCCATAGCAATCAAAAAGAGGTCAATCCATACAAGGTGATACTCTTCATCCTTCCAACTGCCACTTTAGAAGTTCACAAAGTTTATAACTGACAAGTAAGCTTTTTGTGATTTATATCAAATACAGTTTTAGATACACCTACCTCTGTGGATTCTCAATAGCTGGAATAAAAACGCAGTTGTCAATGTCATATTCAGAGCAATACTATTCAATACCAGTTTACATAATAGAATTTTACTGTCATTTGAGAGGTACTCGGATGTTATACATAGTATTGTAGATATTAATGTAAAGTAATCATATAAGGCAATGTAAGTTAGTCATATGTGTGTCCAGCTATGTGCATATTTCATAACTGACGGTATCAAGTTATACCACAAATACACTTACGTTTTGCAGTCTTCATTCTCCTCCTCTGGTAGATAATGATGATGATGAGGATGATGATGATGAGGATGAGGAAGACCAGGCCAGATCCTGTTGCTATGAGGAACACTGGATACTCATTATCCCGGTAAGCTGGCACTGTGGCAGAACAGAAAGAACAGATTATCAAAATGAAGAAACGAATGCACTCTATTTGAAGATGTATGAGAAGATTTGCCTCATATGTTTTACAAGGGTTGACGTGTTCTACACACTGTACACACAGTCTTCACCGACCACGACAACCACAGTGCCATTGACTGGTTCCAGATGTACCTCTGGCGGGTCAAGGGACATTCATGATTTTAGACACATGCTTATATTGTACATTCTAAGAAGCTTCGGTGAACTATCAAAGACGCACAGTACATTATCAGACGATGATGTACACTCTTCCCGCAATACGTCATAATGTATTGGCGTTGGCGCCATTCTAGTCTGCCCCCTCGTCAATCGAACACTTTGGCATTACGTCCAATGTAACCGACGTCACGATGCAAGTCAGTGGTCATCGCCTCGCAAAGCCCTCCTTCAGTAAACTATTCGTTGCAATCCCGTTTCTTGGTTTGCAGTTGCTTCACCCGGCTAAAATCGGTGGAAACATTACGTTCTTGTTTTCCGACGACGGATAAAAATGTCTCAGTTCGACTCACAATTTACCAGCGACACGGCAACGTGTTCAATGTTTTACATCTCCACAATAATGAAATGCATCCGTGGAATGTCCACGACTTGTAAGCTTCATACGGATTACTGATCTATACTTACGTTGGTAGTAGAAATGTGATGTTCATATTGGCGCATATGGTATAATACGTTAATCACAGATATAATTAAAATAATTTAGAGAAGACATTTAACCCGAACGTAAACCAGTCTTCAAACTGTTCATCATTTGTTTTTTTTCTGGTAACGTTCGTCTTAACGTAGGGGGCAGACAAATCAATAGAACAGCGCGTCAGTTAGCCATGGACGAGGAGTCTTGATTTAGGTCACCGACACAGTCGTATGTTTTCCGCCTTAGATTAATTGTAATTAGTCTAAGAAAGTATTTAATTTGGCATCCTAGAAAAGAAAAACAGTTCGCTCTACCACCATGTATAGTGTAATAAAGCACACTTTCGCCCTAAACTAATATAACGTTAAAGTTTAACTATAATAGGTCAGGGCGAAAGTGTGCTTTATTGCACTATGCACGGTGGTAGAGGGAATTGTATTTCTTACGAATATATTCTTTGCGAATATATATTTCATACTTCTTCTAAGGATCTGTACTCTGTTTTAACATAGGTGATAAGTTTTCCCAACCATCATGTAAAACATTAACCACAAAGTCCGTTTTTGCCAACGTCTAGGCAGAACACACAACAACGATATTGAGGCCACTCTCAGACTTCGATGCCTGTTTGTACAGTTGATGTCCCTTGTCTATTGGTAGCAGAGCACGATATGTTCTGTCCGTAACTGATATTGCCGCTGTGATGCCACAAGTAGGAGGTGACGGCAGGGTTTGCATCGTCAACGTTACATTCAACTTCAACGACATGCCCAAGCCATGTGACTGGATAACATCTTTGCCTTGTTGACGATAGGTGGATCTCCAGTGGATCTTATGTCAGACACAAGGTTTGAAAAATAACGACAGCATCAAAGCATTCACGGTATACAATGCACAATACCATAAGACATTTATACCCTGTAAAAATCAATCCATGGGATGATATATAAATATAAATGTGAAAACCACATCCATTAGTAATTTCTTCCAAATGCAGGGGTCGACT